CAGAAATAACAAAATTGACTTTTGTATCCATATACATTTATTTTACTATATAAACTGGTTTGTAAGTAATACTATTTTTATTTAGTAAGGTAATCAATAAAATTCAGTTTTAGAAAAAATGTACAATTAAGAAAAAAGAAGCCAGGTGGTGTAGTATACACCTTTAATCTGAGCACTTGGGAGCCAGAGGCAGGTGGATCTTTTGTGAGTTTGAGGCCAGCCTGGTCTACAGAGTGAGTTCCAGGATAGCCAGGGCTACATAGAGAAACCCCCTTGAAAAAAACAAAAAAGAAAAAAGAAAAAAAAAAAGAAAGAAAAGGAAGAACAAAGCATTGCTTTATGTTTATGCCCCCAACCATACTATTCTAAAATACTATTTTGTATTATACTATGTTGTTATAATTATGTTCTGAAATCAGTGCAGTCTATTATAATCCAAAAGTTTACAGAAAAAGAAACCTACTCCACAGCAGTGACCCTCAAGTAGCAGCATTCTGTGCATTTCCTTGCTGTATTTTCTGTGTAGTTGTTACCAGAATTACAGCTCCAAACATATTTATCTTGCCCTCTGAGTGAATATTGCGATTCTGAAGTATAACTAAGAGACACAAAGCACAAAACCACACAGCCTGCTCTCATCACAGGCGTGCTGGCTCCACCCAACGTCCAAATTCCTTTCCCCAGCTTTTTGTTTGTTTGTTTGCTGGTTTTTCTAGGCAGGGTTTCTCTGTGTAGCCCTGGCTGTACTGACCTGGAACTCACGGCTGGAATTAAAGGCTGTGTCCCCAGGCCTGGCCCCCTCCCTCATCTCACTGACATCACTGCAGTGCACCGCAGTGCTGGGAGCTGAGAACACAACCTAAGTCACTCAAGTGCCGGGTCCCCTTAAAGAGCTCACGGTTCCAAGTTAGCAAACACCCCATGGCTGAACAGAAATGAGTCTGGAATTATAAAATACACTTGAAGTTTGGGTATTGAAACACTGGTTCTTTTGAGGGCAGTATCTCACATACAGTTAGTAAGGTATTGAAAAGTTCATTCTTTTGAGGGCAGTATCTCAATACAGTCAGTTGTCCTAGACAACTGTGGCTTTTCCACAGCTGAGAACGCTGTATTCTTAGCCTCAGGTCAAGGAGCTTCAAGCACGCTACTCCTCTCTTCACTCCCCAGTACTGAGATTGAACTCGGAGCCTCACACGTTAGGCAAACTGTGACCCTGAGCTGTCATCCAGCTCTAGTCGTTTTATGATGTATCTTTTTAACTTTTATTGCAATACTCTTTCCTGGCTTTGAGGGACGCTTTGGTTAAAAACCAAAGCAAGAGCTTTCACTGTCTCAATGTGGGTTTCCAGATCACTCATCATCTCCCCCCCCCCCCGGATGTTTGCATGGCACATTTGTTTACGGGCTGACAGGTAATCGCAGACCATGACTTAGGTGAAGATGTAAAGCAGCGCAGGTGCTTCTATCCACACACACGATGACTCACACGCACCTGTCACAATGTGCATCGCATGCACAAACACTGGAGATGCATCTGACTTTATTCCTTAAGGAAAATCCACACATTCCCATTTGCTGACTCCCAGTGGTGTCTCAACAGTGAGGAAATAAGAGCTAGAACAAGGCCTCAGACCGTAATGTCAAGTATTCTAAAATCTGCTTCAATGCATGACAGAGACACAGAGCGGGGAGCACTGAAGACCTGCACACAGAAGGGAGTTCTTTCCACGCGAGGCGCCACCACACTCCAGCAGTATGAGCACAAACCTCAGTCCTCAAGGGCACTAATGAGGAGAAGCCCATCTCTATAAAACTAAGAACCATGGCAGAGGGTCGGTAGCCAGATCTAGAGAAGTCAATAGAATGAAGTTGTTGTTTTTTTTTTTTTTGAAGGCACTGCCCCTCACACTATACTAGGTTGTCACAAAATTTTCTTTTTAATATACGTAAGATATTACTATGGGAGGAATTTTAGTTGATGTTGCTTTTAGCACAGCACGTACTTTATGAAAGGAGGGGAGGGCTTGAACTTCTGTTACCAAGTAGCTACTGACAGGCTCTAGAGCAGTGGCTCTCAGCCTTCCTGATGCCCCAACCCTTTAATCCAGCTCCTCTGCTGTCGTGACCCCCAAACACCAAACTACTTTGTTGCTATTTCATTACTGAAATTTTGCTACTGTTATAAATCATAAAGTAAATGTCTGAAATGGAACCCCCAAAGAGGTCAAGACCCACAGGCTGAGAACCACTGCTCTAGAAGCATACTTAGGACAATATATAAGATCAGCAAAAGAAACTATTCGGTAATTTGATTTCCTGTATTTTCACATTGAACTCAATGGAGAGAAGCGCCTCCTACTGTTTCCACAGAGAGCGTGTGTGCGGTTAGCACTGGAGCTGTCCCACAGTTTCCCTGCCAGTGTCTGAAAGGAAATGCAAGCATCAGAGTCACTAATGGTTTTAACCATCGGAGACTGGAATGGATTTGTTTGTCAATGTTTTCCATTAATGAGAATTACCTAGAGAGGTCCCTACTGACACTTGTTTACAATAGACCTCCCAGGAAGCAGAAACCTACACACACTGCAATAAACAGTAGGGCAGAAGTTACTCTCTCCAGAGAGCTGAAGGCAGCAGAGGGCAATCTCCACACCACAGATGCAAACAACCTCTGGATCAAAACAGATAGGCATGTTTTCATCATCACTCACAATACGCTATCACTTTACAAAGCATTCATATCATAATAGGCACCTAGCGATGATTTAAAGTATATGGGAAGATGAGGAACTTGAGTATCTGGGGGTTGTGTGCACATCAGAGGAATGTTGCTGGGAGCACACCCATGCAGACAGAGGGTGGGGAGAATGGTTAGAAAATGACAGGTTTTCTACTACTCTACAGAAAACAAACAACATGGATAATTAATATAGGAAAATTCCCTTCTCAACTAATATTTATAATATCTGCATTTAGCTTTTTATACGCCCGTATGCATGTGCAGGTGGGTGGGTGGGGTGTTCCCAGGGATGGATGCTTTAGTCTCTCTTTAGTCTGAACTGTGGTCTGTGGTCTGAACTGGAGCCCCGATTGTGAAGCACACTCTACTGACTGGGTGCTTATGATGAGTGAGAGCACTATCAAAGACCTGAAGTCTGCCCCAGGAGAGCATCAGTGTTCAAGGTGCAGGGTGCGTTCTGCCCTCCTCCCGTGCCTCTGTCATGAGTCTGCCGTTCAATGTGCTGCATTTAAATACCTCACTTCTTCTTTTCCAAGAGCGCAGATTGTAATTTGTTTCTTTTTACTACTTTATAGCATTCTGTCAACATACCATTTGTTCTTCCCAATATCCCTTAACTGGCTGTTTCCAATCTTTTGCTGTTTATGTACGTTTTAACGAAAAGATTTTGCTCACTTGGGTTCAATCTAAACATAAAACAGATCTCCAAAAGTGACGTATTTTGGTCAAAGGGCAAAAGGTCTCTTAATTAAACAGGTAATACCAACTTCCCCTCCACGCACTGTGTCGCTGGAACAAAAACTTGTCCCTGAAGATTACCTTCAGATATACACATGCTTGGGACCCACTCCCCAGCTTCTGGGTGTTCCTAAGAAGGCCAATTTTTAAAGCTATTCAAAAAGCATCTCCAGTCAATAAACTGTACTGCTGAAGGTTTTGTCTGTCCACACCCAGAAGCGAGCCCTCGCTGCACTCCATGGCACTCGTTTAGCAGACTTCCTGAGTTCACCGTGTACTGAGAATGCAGATGTGAAAGGATGAGTCCTCAGGGCCTCTCACGGAGGAGTTAACAGATAAGGAGGGAGGAAAACTAGAAACAGAGTACTCTGTATGTGTAACTACGAACATGTACACCAGAACATAAAACACAGGGGCAACAGAGAAAACTGGCTGCGAAGAACAGAGAGCAGATCACGGCTGCCACGCCATCCCGTCAGCACCGGAGGTCACTGGAAGACTCCAAGGCTGAGAATGGCACAGCCAGGCTGCGGCCTTAGGCTATGGGCAGGCAGCTACAGCCAGAGCCACAGGTCACAGAAAGTGAAAGGACAGCTCAAGAACTAATGTAGTAGCAGGCAGTAGAGGCACAGGCCTTTAATCCCAGCACTTGGGGCAGAGGCAGGTGGATCTCTGAGTTCAAGGCCAGTCTGGTCTACAGAGTGAGTTCCAGGACAGCCAGGTCTACACAGAGAAACCCTGTCTCAAAAACAACAATAGAAAGTAAATCAAAATAAACTAATACAGTGATCCAGATGAAGGTCTGATCTAAATCTCAGGAGGTGTAGAGAAACTGAACACAGACAGAGGTAATGGGCCGGTGTAAGGTTATCAATCCTCTACCAGCATCTAAGCCTCTCTTTTTCAAGAGCAAGAGATGCACTCTGACTCAGTCAGACTCTTATCTGATCTCGGAATCTGTGGGGCTGGGACAGGGGTATGGGAGCCAGAAAAACAAAAAGGGAGGACTGGTTAATCCTCATCCACCAAGGAAGGCAGCCATGCACCGAAGAGCCCTCTCTCACAGGAGCTCCTGATTCCATCCTCTGTGACTGTGAGGCTGGTAACCTACACAAGGTGACAGTAAGCAGGCACAGAACAGCAATGGAAAGCTGCTTTCCCCACACTTAGCCCAGCACAGCCATGCTGTACAGTAGCCAACACTGTGTACAACCTGGAATTGAGCCAGCAAAACAGGGCAACCCGTTAGCAGTAAAAACTTCAGTGCTAGTCCCACCTGAGCCTTTCTCCTACTTAAGTAAGCCCAGGGATTCGGTAGGGATGAACAGGAGGGGTTTGTGTGTAACCCATCCTAAACCTGCTACCTCTCTTTCTTCTCAGGATACCTGAAAAAGACTGAACTGAAACCAAAAACTAATCAACAACCATTAGATGAAAACAAGTCCACTGCTTAAACCATCCAGGAGTAACAGACACACATACACCACATACACTGACACACACACACATCAAACCTTACCTTTCTTTTATCTTCATCTGTTGGTTCAAATTTGAAAGTAGCCCTATGCTGAGGGGGGGAAAAAAAAGGAAACAGTGTCATTTTAATATATACATTTTAAAGATTTTTTTGAACACAATATGTAAACTAATTTTCTTATAAGATACTGCTTTCTCATCTCAATATTCTTATTAAAGACAGACATAATAATATTTAAAAATTAACATAAAGCCACATGAAAAGGCTATGGCGGCAACACGAAGGGAAAAGAGAGAATTAGGACAGCAACTACCCAGAAGGGCGGGAGGCCTTGCACAAGGCACTGAGCAACTGAGCTGGAGTCTGAGGGGTAACAGGTGTTTGCTGTAGATGTGTGGACCATATACTCATGAAGCTAGCAGCTCTGAGAAGAAAATGGGACACTTAAGAGGGTGGCACACGGAAGATGAGACTGGAGACACAGATGGGGCAGACTACACATCCCATCAGTGTGCCGGGTTTTATTTTTTGTATTCCATAAAAAATCATCAGAAGTTGGCAGCGGTGGTACACGCCTTTAATCCCAGCACTCGGGAGACATAGATAGGTGGATCTCTGAGTTCGAGGCCAATCTGGTCTATAGAGAGAGTTCCAGGACAGCCAGTCAGGGGTACACAGAGAAACTATCTCAAAAAAAATGAAGAAAGGAAGGAAGGAAGGAGGGAGGGAGAGAGGGAGGGAGGGATGGAAGAAGGGAGGGAGGGAGGGAAGGAAGGACAGATGAACAGAAGGAAGGAAGGAGGAAGGAGGCATCAGAGACGAGAGACGAGAGACAAAGAGAGACGTTACTCTGGAAAGGAGCCTCTGTCACTCTCACTTACTAGTTGTGACTTCAGGCAGTCAACCACCTGGCTCCTCTTATGAGAACAGCACTTAGCTAAGGGGTGACTTCGAGGGTTCCGATAGCTGTGGCCCAGAAAACACCACCTCACTGCCTGGCAGTATATGTTAGGGTGCTGCTGCTGCTGCTAATGATATTAACGAAAACTTAACTGGAAGGGAGAGGAGTGTCACGGTTCCCCTGAAATGACAGCCACAGTGCCCTTCCCACTCTGCAGCAGAAGTAGAGGGGAATGGGTAGAATAACTGTCTTGTTTGCATTAGGAGTGGTGGTCATTAGGAGAGCGCAGAACTACAGAAACGCTCTCCCGAATCCCACCTTGGTTTCCCAAGGCAAACCAACCAGACATCCTCTGCGCTCTCCACTGCTTCCCTAACTTATCTCACTGTCCATACCGACCAAGGGAACTGCAGCCCACCACAAATTATGTGTGAAAGACAGCACCGTTTTGGTAGTTCTGTTTTGTACCTTTGCAGAAATGGTTTTTTTTTTTAATATTTATTTATTTATTTATTATGTATACAGTATTCTTTCTGCATGTATGCCTGAAGGCCAGAAGAGGGCACCAGATCTCATTTCAGATGGTTGTGAGCCACCATGTGGTTGCTGGGAATTGAACTCAGGACCTTTGGAAGAGCAGGCAATGCTCTTAACCACTGAGCCATCTCTCCAGCCCCAGAAACGGTTTTTGAAACAAAACGAGCTACAGAAATGTTGGGAGGAGGCAGTTTGAGTGTAAGAAATAGTTAACGGAAGACAAGGGTCATCTAAGGAAACCTAAAGAGGCTACTCAAACCTGGATCAAACCAACTGAAACAGGGGACGTGAGAGAGAAGGGCAAGATGCAAAACTTTACATCTGGCATGGCAGCAGGCTGCAGGTGACTGGGGAGGTCTAGGGTGGAATATGAACAACATTCTGGAAGAGAGGTTTGGGCAGCAGCACATAGGCCAGCTCAAGGCGGGCAAGAGTGAGGCAGAAAGCCATGGAGGAGGGGCATCACAAGTCACTGTGATGCAGGACCATTTGACACAAACCTATAAAGGGGAAGTGATCTGCCAACACATACTAGAAGCCACAAAAATATTTGACCCCATTTGACCCAGAACTCCTACTCCTATGCGTTTATTCTAATGAAGTTATGCAGAGTGAGAGAAAAATTATCTGTTAGCACATTCACAAGTGTTTTCTAATATAGTAAAAGAGGCAAGCAGAACATACAACACTGAAAAAACTGTGTCAAAATATTCTACTGAACATATCGTATCCATATCATAAAATACTGTGTAGCCACTAAAAGAAATGTGACTCATTGGGGTTACTTTATAATAAAGAATCTCAAGAATAAATGAACACGGGAGGAAAGAAGAGAAGAGGGGAAGAGGAGGTCGTGAATCTGAGGCTATTCTTAGGCATTTACAGACCCAGGGTTGACTGAAACCTAACATTAAAGATAAGGAGGTAGCAGGCTAATGTTCTAATGGAAGCTCAGTAAAAGTTCCTATCAATGAAAACAATTATCCTTAGAAACCAAGAAGTCTTGGCTTTTGTCATTCTACATAAAATATTAACTCTGCAAATTATTTGGAATAAATGTATCTAGTTGTTAAAACTTAATACTTCTCCTAAATGTGTTTTTAGCATTTATAAGGAGAGGACAGTAAAAAAAAAAAAAAAAAAAGTAATTCTTGTTTGGAAAGATACTCAGTAAGTTACAAAAATATCTTCTAAGTATTTCCTACATAGAATTATTTTTTAGGGAGAATTCAGAATAGTAGCAAGAGCCAATTTTTCACTTTTCTGTTGCTTTTTCACAGCAAAACTGATCAAGATAATAATAATAAATTTAAATAATAAAAGCAGCATTTAAAAAATGTTTTCAAAGGCTCCATCTAGTCAGCATGAAAGTTTAATTTAATTAGAAAATATACTAGCATGGAGGGTACTATAAATTAAACTCTAAATGGATCAAGTTATTTAGAAACTCAACCCAAAGATCACTGTACCCAGCAGATGCTGGATTTATATGGAGCTAGCTTCAGTCACCCAAGCTAGATCAGACCTAAAACTCTACACCTCTCCTTCCAACATTCTTGAAAGACTTTAATTCTTTGAGGCAAGGCTTTCTGAGTATCTCAGGCTGGTCTTTAGCTTCTGGTCCTGCTGCCTTGCTCCCCTTTCTAAAGCTCAAATGGTGGGAAGAGAACCAGCATCCAGGTTCGCACGCGTCTCTAGAGCTGTTAGCCAGCCGACAAAGGCTTCTTTTACATTTCACTTCCAGAACAGGAGCAAATGGAATAGAAGTCAAAGAGTAAAATCACTGCTCAACTTAAAGACCACAAACTAGAACCTCTGCATGACACACCAGACTCATGACTGCAGGCTTTATCACCTAGGAGAGCCCCCCAAACTCAGCCATCAGATAACCTCAAATTTGAGTCCAGTCCGACTGCGCACCATGGGCAGCCCTGGTCAGGCCGCACTCTACAATCCCTAAGGTTTCCTTATGCTTTTGAATGTTATAACTGGCACCTTGTACATGGTAGGTATTTATTCAATAAATGGCCACTTCTGTTGTTACTGCATGGTCTCTGGTAAACGCTGACCTGTTAGAGAATTTGGGGTTAACACACTGATGTCTACAAGTACACTCAAAGACTACTTTTTAGGAGTCAAAACAGACTGTAAAACAATTTGGAAATAAGTACAATGTGTAACAAGGATATCTCTATGCAAAAACCTATGGCAAGCCCAAAGTCAAAGCTCAGCCTCAAAACTGGAAAGCAAAACATCCTCCTACATGGTCCAGGACATTTAAATCCCCATTCAAATGCAGGGCTGTATCTCCAGAACCGTGTCCATGTGAGCTTTCTGTCAGTCTCGTTCTCCCAGCACATAAAGGACGGGCTCAAGGCTACCAGCAGTCCTCCCTCCTTCCCTGTTCCCAGCTCTTGGAGAACTTGAATAAGTGACAGCATCTTAAGTAACTCTGACCTGGGAAAGGAATCTAAAGACCACATCTGCCACTTCCTAGCCTGTATGCAATCACCCTGCCACTCTGGACCTCCATCTCCTATTTAAAGAAATATGAAAATACTTCTACCCCTCTTGTAACTCCTAATATAAGGGAATTGTGTGTGTAAATTCTTAGGAAAATACACAGTACCTACAAGGCACTCAATAAATGTTAATAGGTCAACTTAGGAGTGAGAAACAGCAACTCCTTTGCGGAGGTGGGAGGACGGGGAGAGGGGTTCAAGACAGGGTTTCTCTGTGTAGCTTGGCTGTCCTGGAACTATCTCTGTGGACCAGGCTGGCCTTGAACTCAGAGATCCGCCTGCCTCTGCCTCCCAAGTGCTGGGATTGAAGAACTGCATCATAACTACCCAAACAGCCACTCTAATTTAAAGAATTGTTGTCCTTCTGAAGCAACGTCCCCTTGACAAACAGATACGTTTTTTTCTTCTTTCTGGGATAGAGATCTGTCTCTAAGATAGCAAAGGTCAGTGAATGAAGCAAGGATGTTTGGAAGTGAACGTCTGCACTACAATAGAGACCAGGCATATTCTGGAAACACACAGCAAAGGCTGCTCTGAACAGTAGGAGATGGACCATGATGATAGCCCTGGAAGGCCCATGGCTAAGACAAAGAGTGGGGAAGATCCCCAGGATCTCACTGTGCTCCATCAGTTCAGGGCCACAGGTTTGCTGGACAGAAGAACGGAGAGTGTAGCAAAGTTGAGCCACTTGGTCTTGGCCACATAAACTGTAAACTGAGGATCAGCGTGCTGGGAGCTGGGCTCCGGAGCCGGCACTCTAGCCACACCACCTCATGAAGGATGCAGACCTTCAGCTCCTCATAACTTAACGGGGAAGACTTCGTAGGCACACTGTGCTCAGTGCTTGGCATTATAGTTCACTGAATCTACTGCATGAGAAATAAAAAGAACGGTGTTTTAACCCCTCCTTTACAGGCAGGGCAGCCGGGGCTCAGGCTTGAACTAACTTATCCACAGTCATGAACTATTAGCAGCAGATGCGAGATCAGAACCAAGGCTCTTCTGATGCCAGACCCCATCTTCTTTCTGCTATACTTGCAATGACCAACTTATTATAAAAAGGTAACATCAAGAGCCTTCCTCTTCCAGCCAATGAACAGTGTCCATTCCCCTTCTGCTTGGGCTCCTCATTGCCCCACAATCACTTCTGACTCTAAAAAATTATCAAATCCATCTTTCCAGATACGAAAACTGAAGGGCAAGATATCTATCCATCTATTTTCTTGGGGTGGAGCCATCAACCATAAATCTGGACAGCGTATACCTATTCTTCTTGCCTGAGTACTGATATCATAGATCACCTTCCTATTCATGTCCCCAGTTTCTCCCTTTGAGGGACGGTGCTGCAATGTAACACAACGGTCACCTGTTTTCTGTGTGTTCCAATCAGCCCAACTCCACTCTTCCTGCTACAGCTAACAGTAAACATGAGTGCTGTCTCCTAACAGAGCTAAGTGGTCTCTTTACACCAAATCAGAACACTCTCGGGCTGGGCTTGGCCAGTGTCTGGGAAGGCTCTGAAGCACTTCAGGACATCACCTTAAACAACAGAGGACGATCCTGACACACGGACAACATTTACACGATGAAAGGGGAAGCTAAGCTCAGACAAGACGTGGCCATGAGAGACAGGAAGAACCCAACCTGAAGGGAGATCAAGGAGAGGAAGGGATAAGCTAGAGGAAGCAAATAAATATGGGAGCTAATTGGTTTAGCCACAAAACAGTGACTACTACATTAAGATCCCAGTGTAGGTCTTTCCTCCTCCCTTCCCTGTAAAAGAAAGTCCCTATTATTGCTGGGTATCTGGTATACAGTAAGTGCTAAATAAACATTAGTCAACCCAACACAATCGCCAAATTATTACACTTCCTTCTGAAAATCAGCTTGTGGCTCCCCCATATCTTCTCTGGAAAGCAATAATAAATCAAGTTAAAATAATACAATCTACGAAATAAGTACACCTACGCATGAAATGAGTTTCTCCTAAACTAGGCAGGTATGCTCAACACCAAAGCGGATCAGAAGGTGAAGGGGCTAAGATGTGACAAGGAGACAGCCCATGGATGCTCCCAAAGAAGGGAGGGCAGCAAAAACAGGCCCTAGACTTGGAGCTGGACAGCTAGACTCAAATCTCTCTTCCATTTTTCATTGGTTGTGTGAATATGGGGCTAATTATCATCCTAAATTTTACTGTATGTGAAATGAGGACTGTCCCCACTTTGTTCACTAGGTTGTTGGGGAGATGAAGTGGGAACGAAGGGTCTTTTCAGAGTATGTCTCCTCGGGGGGTGTTTTCTACTGTGAAGTATAAGGGGCAGCAGCGGACCGAGGATGGGAGGTGAGGAGGAACTGATAACTAGGAATAAGATGTCAGTTACCTAGGGTGTACTCTGGTGCTGGTGTGTTTTCACAGAAGAGAGGCATCAATCATCCTCAGACAAGCCTAGTCCCCTAAACTGACTAAAGGAGCCAGGTAGGCCACTTACTCAGGGAAACTGCTCAAGAAAGAGCTAACGGTTCTGGAGGGACACTCTCCAGAGAAGGAAGTGGTATTTACAACCAGATACCATTTCCCTGTAAACTGATAGAATAATGAATGGAGAGTTGGAAGACCTAGGTGGGAAGACTCTGGCTCCCAAGAATGACCTTGGGCTAGTTACTTAACCCACCTAGAGACTCCAAGGCAAAACACAGATAATACCTCACAGGACCGCTGTCAAGATTAAATGAGATAACGAATAAGAAAGCTGTTAAGGCGATACAAGTAACAGGTATTATTAGGAGTAGGATTTTCCACCCACTTACAACATAAGTCCATGACCTTGGGCGTGATTTCAGTCCTCTGCACCTCGGTTTCCTCATCTATAAAATGGGAAGGCTGAAACCATCTACCCTATAAACACTCTGAGGATCAAAGGGGATCACACATAAGACATCGACGCCTGGAGAACCAGACAATGGTACTGGTACATGAAGAGCTGCCATGGTTGCTCGTATGTCAAGGGCCGTGTTTATGCAGAGAAGCATGTATTTTTTACAGTATACAGGTGAGAGCCTCGCATGCATTTTATGCATCCAAGAGTGGAGCACTGGGCAGATGCGCATCTATGGATTCTGGGGGTGTGACTTGCACGCTGAGGAAGAAGACCACAGGACAGGCTACTGGGCCAGGAATCGGAGGAGTGGGCGCTACAGTGGAGCGGGGGGGATGCAGGATGCACGGGTGGGAAAGGTTGGGGGCACAAACACGCATGCCCAAGCCGGAAACGTTTTCGGGGGAGAGCAATGCGCATCCCCGGAATGAGGGGGGTGGGGGAAAGGATGCGAAGTGCGAGCCCCGAGGGCGGCCCGGGGCGAGACAGCAAAAGCCCGGGGCCAGAGCTCTTTACCTTGTCGCTGTAATCCCTCAGGACCCGCTCGATAGCCCCCGCCTCGCCGGCCCGGACGATGTAGAGGGCGCGCTCTTCATCCATGGCCGCAGGTGCGGGGGAGCCGCGGCCGCTGTGCGCGCCCCAGCCGCTGCCTCCCAGGTAAACGCCTCGCGCCCCCGCTACCTCGCTCCTTCCCAGCTTCCTTCCTTCCCTCCTTCCCTCCCTCCCTCCAGTCTCCAACCCGCCAGCCTCCGCCCGGGCAGGCCGTACGTCACCGCCCCTCAACTTTCACCCCGAGACGTCACCGCTCCCCCAGCAACCGGCGCCTCGAGGCCTCCCCCTGCAAGGCCCAGGGCTTAATGGAGGCCTGACGAGCCGCCAGCAACGGGGTCAGGCTCTGCCCCTGCCTACTCTCATCGATCTACCAGCCTTGGAGAAGAGTTTAGATCCGGAGTTGGCTTTCACCAGCAGAACTGTCCCTCCTGACACTCTATGAATCATTCCCCTTAGCGGACAAGAACTGGCGGGCAGCTCCCCACCCATCTGCGAGTCCACGGCTACTGAACTACAATTCCCGGCATGCAACGGGGTCATCCCATGCAGTCATCTGAGTTGGTCGTGAGCCGAATCGCATGCCGGGATTTGTAGTCAGCCATCGGGAAAGACTGCCCACGGGGGGCATGCTGGAAATTGTAGTCCTTTGAAGACCGGAAACCAGAGTCCTGCGACCGCCCGGGGCTAGAGGCGGAGGGACCGTTAGTGGGAGGGTCTAAACTGTGTTCTGCTGGATTTTTTTTTTTTTTTTTTTACTTTGCTGACCTGCACCAGACGTGGCTGGTTGGACTGACTAGCGACGGTGAAAATGCCGGCCCCTGGTGGGAGCTATCAAGCGCCGGTTGCGTTGCTTCTCTGCCCAGTTAGCGGTTTCAATTCTCACCCGGTTGCAGCTGTGTTATGCACTAGGATGCAGCAACATGGGAAATTGAACACAGGTCTTTGTGGAACCCAAACTGATAAAACAGTTTGGCCTAAGCCCCAGGGATCAGTAAATGAGAAAGTCAAAATTTGAATCCAGGTCTTTCCCAAAAGTGGCCACCCTCCAACCACCCATAAATGTCATACAACCGAGTAGCAATGGAGGCAGTGGGGATAAAGGGAGGGGGCGTGTGCATGTTTGCCAAGTGTTATTTCTGTGCCGGGCACTCACACTTCACCTGGGTTCGCTTAATTCCTCAAAAATTCTCAACAAATATTTGAGAACCTGTGCCTTTCTGGGCAATCTTCAGTATGGACACAGTGACCTCAAAGCAAGTTTCCTCCTCACTTATGCCGTCCGTCCTCGGGAACATCACCATGAACGGGGCCCTGCTGTTCTCATCTGAAAATGATCAGTCTTGAAAAATTAAAATGCATAGTTTTAGAAGGAGTTAGAGGCTGTTCTGTGCTACCAGGCTTTTTCATAGGAAATAGATGAATTCTGAAAGAAATTTCTAAGTGTTTTATCTCCCAAAAAATCATCTTTGATGCCTTCCCTGTTGGCCTCTTCAGCTGAAGAGGAAGGAGAGCTGGCAAATGTTCATTCATTTTATTGGGTTTCTATTATAAATTGGAAATATTGGGAATTTGGAGCTAGACAACAGAGAAGCTGGGTCTACGGAGCTTAGATTTCCTGCGGGTTATACTTTAAATGGAGCCAGCATTTTATTGTACATGCAGTTGAACCAATCATTAAAGAGCAGGGGTTTGATGACCTTTTGTTATTGAGACAAATACTGAAGTCCATCAGTAAAGGAAAAGATTTGCTTTGGTCATATAAAACAAATGTGGTTTATGTCTGCATTGCCTGTGGCCAGGTGGTGCATCATGACTCCCTGGCAAAGTATGGCAGAGAAAGCTGCTCACCTCATGGCAACTGGAAAGCAAAGATCCAGAAAGGAGCCAGGGCCTAATATTCCCCCCAACAGCATGCTGCCATGGACCTAACTCTTGGTTTAGGTTTTAATGCCTCACCACCTCCCAACAGTGCCATGGACTGGGGACCAAGTCTTTAATAAATGGCCCAGATATTTCAGATGCAGAGTATGTAAAAGGATAGGTGCTGTATCTGTAATAAATAAGATCAGAAAGATTTTAATGTGATTCTCCAAAGAGAATACTTCTAAGAAAGGTCATGAAAACTACGATTCTAAGATTAAAATAGCATGTCTTTCCCTTTACAGACATATACTACCCATGATTTAAAGGGGTCCTTGAAACAAAACTTAATGGATCATTGACAAAGGATTATTTCCATTTTATAGAGAAGAGGTCCAGGTGAATTAACAAACTGGAAATCCAGCTGAATGTTGTCCAGTACTTTCTGAAGTCCTGTTTGGGTAATTATTTATTTGGGATGTCTTAGCATTTCTATTGATGCCATGAAACACATGACCAAAAAAACAAGTTGGAGAGGAGAGAGTTTATTTGGTTTACACTTCCCAAAGGAAGTCAGGGTAGGAACCCAGACAGGACAGGAATCTGGAGGCAGGAGCTGATGCAGAGGCCATGGAGGTGTGCTGCTTACTGAGTTGCTTCCCATGGCTTGCTCAGTCTGCTTTCTTATAGAACCCAGAAACACCTACCCAGGGATGGCACCACCCTCAATGGGCTGCACACACCCCCTTGGATCACTAATTTAAAAAATGCCCTAGAGCTGGATCTCATGAGGCATTTTCTCAATTAAGGCTTCTTCTTCTCTGATGACTCTAGCTTGTACCAAATTGACATAAAACCAGTCAGTAGAGGGGTCAAAGGTCTCCAGAAGAGAAAGAATATAACAAGAAATATCCCAGTAAGGATATTTAAAAAAAGGGGGGGTTCCCACTGGGTGGTGGTGGCGCATGTCTTTAATCCTAGCACCTGGAAGGCAGAGGCAGGCGGATCTCTGTGAGTTCGAGGCCAGCCTGGTCTACAGACCAAGTTCTAGGACAGGCTCCAAAGCCACAGAGAAACCCTGTCTCAAAAAAGAAGGGGGGGGGGCTCCTACACATCTTTGAAATGTCAGCTTGGCAGAAATAGGCTATTTTTTTAAGGTCCCAATTCTGTATTTCTAAGAAGAAATAGAAAAATGTGGACTTGCATGAATTAATAGCTTGGGATTTTGTATTTTTAATAATTTTAATAAGTATTTATATTCTGATTTTATGAATCAAAGTAACTTTGGCTCTAACTCAAGTTGTTCTTTAATCACCGACAAGACTCTAGTCCCAGAAAAAATGAAGTGGCTTGTCCAAAGTCAACAGTCAAAAGCAAACTCTGGGACGGAGCCTCGAGCAGACTCTTATGTTACTTCACCTCCCAAGATACTGGATACGCAATCCTTTCAGTGACTGAAAACGCCAGTCTATCACTAAGTCTAGCTTCGCTTAGGTGGCGTGGTGCCAAGGAATTAGGATTTAGAGCTTGAGTTATCAAAGCAGCAAACACTTAAAAGGTATCACTTTGGAGAGATGCTAGCGCAATGCAAACCTATGCAGAGAGCTTTGCGATCCTCAAAACACTTCCTTATAAATTATCTGACGTAACCTTTACAATAGCTAGAAAACATGCGATCAGTAGGACAGGCACTACCTTTATATATATAATGAAAATAGAAGCTGCAATGTTGATTATCTTACTCACAGGTGAATAAATCTGTTGGTTTAGCTAAGGGATGGATGGGCTCTGTTCTGTGAGTTAGGACCAATGAGAAAGCCTACAGACAGATACTAGTCATTTATTTATTCATTTCGGACTTTGATACATCTTGCTGTAGAATTTCCTCTGGTCTAGCAGCAGGGTATTGGACTGCGCCACCCTGAAAATCTTTCAGGGGATGCGGGCACGGTCGGCCCTGAAAACCCAGCGCTCCCACTCCAGGTACCGTACTTCTTCGGACGTTTTCCTTAGAGGCAGAAATTTAGAAATGATAAACAGCTCAGGATGGTAACTGTGGTTCCAGGGCAGGAGTTCTGGAAATTCCAGTCATTCAAGATAGGGCCTGTCACTTGGTAACCATCCTGTGTGGGGCAGCTACTCGGCCGCTCTTCACCCGGTGTCTTCAGTTTTGGCACCAGGATTGATTTGTCTTATTTTAGATCTTCTTTAAAAAAAAAAAACAAAAAAACCCCCAAAACCAAACTATTTCTAAACCAACAAAAAACATTTGCATATGCAATAGTTTAAAAAGTATATTTAAGTCGGGTGGTGGTGGTGCACGCCTTTACTCCCAGCACTTGGGAAGTAGAGGCAGGTGGATCTCTGTGAGTTTGGGGCCAGCCTGGTCTACAAGAGCTAGTTCCAGGACAGGCTCCAAAGCTACAGAGAAACCTGGTCTCGAAAAACCAAAAGAAAAAAATCATATTCCTGAGAATCACTTGTCAATTCTATGTTTATCATTGTGCGGACATGAAGAGTTCTGAGTCAGTCAGTCTGTGCTGAGGCCTGGGTATCGGTCAATCCAGAAGCTTGCCAGAGGATTTAAACAGCAGTTGGGATTTCAAAACCAGTGAATGGATATTTCTGAAAGAAGATCATGCAGTGGACTAGTTTTTGGGTGATCTCCTAAAAGTTTTTTGAGAAACTAAATAACATGGCAGAATGATTTATCTTTACTTCATTTTTATGAAGAATGAAGTCACCCTTTCATAGCAAACTAATTAATGTAGTTTGTTTCTCTAACGAATATTCTCCATGTTTTGGAAATATGACATTATGTTAGACTCCATGAAAAAACAAAAACAAGTAGAAGCAATTGATCTCATTGTTTGAGGATATAAAAACCAGACAGCAAATGAATTCTTCCTAAGAGATAAGAAGGGAATTGAATGCACTTACTACACACATCAAGCAATGAGAAAAGCGGGTGGTGAGGAAAGCTTTCTCAGGCAATAGGAAACGTTGGAATGAAATGCTGGAAGAAAGGCTCAGACTGTATGCAGTTGAGATGGTTCAGCCAGTGAAGGTGCTTGCTGCCAAGTCTAACGCCCCAAGTTCGGTCCCTGATCCCACCTTGTGTAAGGAGAGAAGCAAATCCTGAGAGCTATCCTCTGACATGTCGTGGTGTGCACAATTTAGAACTAATGGTAGCCAGCCTCAGCAACCTTTCCAGGGTTCTCACTAGTCTTTGGCAAATACACCTATGATTGATCTGTACTGACTGTATACAGTAGGTTTTCAGTTAGCACAGGAAATGGTCCTTGCCCTTCAGGAGTTTCTATTGACCCGAGTTCTGAATGTTGGTCAGCTCTATCTGCAGTTTATTGACTTGGAATCTGAAACACATCCCCCTTGGGAAAATCTAGCCCTTGGGGTGGCCATGCAGAACTGTCAACAATTAACCTGGCCTAGGAGATGGGACTCCTCAGTCCCAACTCACTGTGAGTCCCAGAAGCCAGTGGTTTGTCAAATATCTTTAAACCTTTCTTGAAACCAACAGGGAAAAAAGCCTTTAGTGAATGTTCACTCTGTTTGGGGTAAATCATTTGTGCTCCTGGGATGCTGATTTTCTCAGCTGCAATGAACCTA